CAATTAAGCATAGAAGTTTCACATTCTTGCGTTTGTTTATTTAAGTTATGTAAATCAGGATATATAAACTTTGTAAGAAATTGAAGTTAAGTGTGGCCCGAATCGAGCAGATTCAAGCAGAATCCGAAAGGAGGCCACAAGAAGGAACAGACTCATACAGAGTCCCGGCACTTGTAGAAGAAAGACTTCTAAGTACCAACACGAAAGACTTGTAGAAGAAAGACTTCTAAGGAACAACACGAAAGACTTGTAGAAGAAAGACTTCTAAGGAACAACACGAAAGACTTGTAGAAGAAAGACTTCTAAGTACCAACACGAAAGATTTGTAGAAGAAAGACTAGTACTTCTAAGGATCAACACGAAAGACTTAAACAAGGTGAACTAAAGACTTCGACACCTTRCAATAGTAAAGACCGTTAACGGAGAAGCTAACGACTCCTTCAAAGACTAACTCCGTCCAGTGTAAAGTCCGTAACGACAACCGAAGACTGCAAACCCGCCAAACATAAGTATAAAAATGTAAAAAAATATCTGAACACTAGAATTAACACATTTACACATTTAGTTATTTATTTATTCAAATCTTAGATAATTACATAGCATTTTTTTCAATATATTTAATCTCTAGAAGTAAGAACTGAGTACTAGAATTAATTAAYTTAGATGTATGTTTCGTTTATTAACGTGTTATAATTTGTATTTTGTTTCCCGTTCGTCATTTCTGGGGGAAGGCCGCGGTAATTGTTTTTTGACTTCCCATTATATCCGTCACAAAATGATTCCGATATGATGACAATAGCTTTTGTCTTTTTTTCCAGTTCTTTGCCATAAGTGTCATAGACCAGGCCACTTCCGGTCTAATTGTCCCAAGCGCCGCCGGACCGACAACCAGCCACAACAGCGCCAGGATGAGAGGATGAAAGGCCACAGCCACAGCCACAGCCATCGAGAGAAAAAGCCGGAGAAAGAACATAAAACAGTGCATTACCACTTCCACGGAAAAGTGGAAAACATATCATTTCGTTAATTTTTTTCTGTCTTGTTGGTTTATGTCTTTATATATTTATGCTTTTATAGACTTTTGTATATATAAATTATAATAATTTTAGACTTTTCAAATGTTTCCCAGGTGTTTATAGCACTGGGAGTCTTTGTTTGTATTCGCCGGTCAGTTCTTATAACATGTCAGTTATCCAGTTAATCCGCCCTTTGTACCCTTTGCTGTCAATTATTATAATTACATTCTCTTTTGATACTTTGAATTTGATAAACTATTTTTATATTATACTGTATTATCTATCATATTAAAGCTCCTATTGCATTRTACAACGTTGCCTGACTCTATTGACTGCTAAAATCCCAACAGGTATAATTTCAGCGCGATTCGGGCTATTTCTAGATTGGAGGGAAGCAAATCACAACTGTCGTAAAATTGATTTATTTTCTTTAGAGAAACCCGGGGAGAAACCTCACAAAGTTGAAAATTACCATGAAATATATGAGTATTTCATAGATTGATTATGATTTTTGACGGACACTTATTAGACTGTTCTTCGTTTCCCAAGATGTAAAAGACTTTAGAATGTCCGCTTACGGGATTTCCGCTTGTCACAATATATAKTGTCACTTCATTTTATTTCTGTTTATATTTAAAAGGTTTTTAAAATTAGGTTTTTCATACACAAGATACTGCGACTACCGCTTTATTACTTCATGTTATTCTATTATTTAGGAGTTATTATTTCACCGCTAATAAGTCTATTGTAACTCATTGTAGGTTGTAAATGAGTTGATCTCCTTGTTTGCACGCATTCAARTTCTCAAGCTAGAATATCAACGGCCCCCGACCGATCCGGAAGTTACGTCATTATTCTGGACACTTACCGACTGCTCGCATGTCATGTCATTCATTCGAGCTTCAGTAACGGTCGTCTATCRGTCTAGTTGTTTGGGCGCTAGATCGATCACAATCAAATCGAAGCTATTCTTTGCTATTATTACGCTAGTTAAATAATTTTTATAGTAGCAATTTGTTTTAAAACAAC